GAGATTCTGGGATTTAAGATGCCTACTGAGGAAAGAGTGAGGAAAAGGTAACATTAATTTGCAACATATGATTTTACCTCGCATCCTTTCAACATCAACAAAAAATAACCTTCCCATGGGAGACTTCTAAACTTATTTGTTACTTAATTTTAGAAAGGAATCTAATAGAGAATCAGCCAGACGCTCAAGATATAGAAAAGCCGCTCACTTGAAGGATCTGGAGGACCAGGTGTGGTATCGCAAATTATATTGTTATGTATATAGTTTTCATTTGTCTACTGAAAAAGGAATCAAGAATATGTGAGTAATTAATGAGTGTAAGATGGTGCTTGATCATTACAGGTAGAAAAATTAAAAGCTGAGAATTCTTGTTTACTGAGGCGCCTTGCTGCTATGAACCAAAAGTACAATGAAGCTAATGTTGACAACAGGGTACTGAAAGCAGACATGGAGACCCTAAGAGCTAAGGTATGATATGCTGTAGATAGTAACTGTGTTTTTATGCTTCAACGCATCAAAATCATTGAATCCTACACTAGGAGTAATAAAGCTATGCCTGTGTAGTTAACATGGTATAAAATCTGGTTGCAGGTGAAGATGGGAGAGGACTCCCTAAAGCGGGTCATAGAAATGAACTCACTGACCTCCATACCCATTCCAGAGCTTCCCAGCTGTGATGTTCCAGTGCCTATCCAAGACGACATCATCAACTATTTCACTATCACCCCAGCAGACGATGCTTTGGTTGACAACAGCTTCATACCCATGCCAGACCCATTGCAATTGCAGCTGCAAGCTGAAGAGCCAACTATCAGTGGAACTCTGAATACCACCACAGAGATAAACCGAATAGCTGCTCTGCAGGAATCAGAGATGTTGGGTCCAAACGAGACCATAAACATGCATATGTATTAGGCATTGCAAGTTTCGTAATCTCGTGCTGTAGTTATCACTTGTGCTTGCACTGCGCGGGCGGACTTGTGGTTTCTTCTGTGTCGTGGAATCGCTGGGAACATTTGCAGCTGTTGCTGAATAAGGCTGGTTGTCTCCCTTGACATTTCAAACAAATTGACAACCATGAGTGTTTTGTTTTGATCCCAGCAGTTTGGAAGGCCTTAATAATAGTGTTGTTTTGTCCATCTACCTGCAAGCAGATTTGCTGCAGATTTTATATCAAATCAAATTAGATAAAAAAAATATAGCTAATAAATAAGAAGCTAGGGTTATTTGGATCACACATCTTATTACGTAGATAAAAAATATCCATAATACTCCGTACCTTTGCTATTTTAATTTTTTATTTTCTTTCTTTACTTTATTTTCCTCTCTTATGTAGGAGTATAGCTGATTTCTCGTTATCCCAACTGCAAATGAGGGAAGTTAACTTCTTACCAATATAACAAGATATCACTTTTACGGTTGCCGCTACGCTATTGGTAGCAAAGAGAGAAACTAGATACAAAATTATCATTTTTGCTTGTGTGGCACTCCAGCACCTCACGCCAGTACAGATCCAAGTCAGCAGGTCCGTGTGAAATGACCGCCATGCCCCTGGCGTCTTTCTACTCCCCCCACGCGGCCTACTGCCCTCTCCCATCCCCTTCTTTCTCTGCTCTGCAGGACCCAGGTCTCGCCCGCCCACCACCGCCGCCGACAAACCCCCTCCCCTGCAGAGCCATGGCTCATCCCATCTATGCTTTATCAGCTGATGAAAATGTTCATCTCTTCTAACTTTCCATTCAAAACCACTCAGTGTCAACCACCCAAACTTCAGTGTTTGTGATGGCCCCTAAATGATCTTTGTGTCTATTTCATCATGAAATTTTTGCAGACTATACTACCAGTTCCTATCCAACCAGAGTTCATGCTCCTGCTCGGCCATTTCTACTAGACCATACTCACCATTAGCGACATACTTAGCACACTTAACAAATAATCTAAACGTGTTGCCAGAATCAGTCCTGACAAAATGAATCAAGAAAACAGAATCAAGGAGTTAGACAATATCCTACATAACACGTTTCCTAAACCAAGAACTACCATTCCGTATGCAGTTAGAGATTTAACTTACCAGCGAACTAATCATAGATCAGTTGGTTGGGTTCCTTGTGGTAGAACCTTCCCACCCGGGTTCAAGTCCTCAACTTGGTACGGGTGCTAGTATTTTCCTGGGTTTATTCCAGGATTTATCGACGCTATGCTTTCACTAGTTGGCGACGTTCCCGTCGACAGCGAGGCGCTTGTGATGACTTCGTGAATCTTGAGATCTACCGGCTCAGTCCTTCGGAGGTGCTAACTTACCAAATAGGGCAACCACTCGAATCCATTGCTTCACCAAATACTACATCAGCTGCCTACAAAGCAAAGAGGGTCAAAAACCCGAATCAAATTGAAGAACCCTAACCCTAGTCTTCATCCAACGACATATTGCAATGCAGACCGCGGAAAAGGGTTGCATGTAGCCACATACCTTTTCTCTATCGCGATAGTGGTCCTGCGAGACAGCGCTCCAGGGGGAGCGTTGTGCGTGACGACGGTGGCAGCAGGCGAGCAAGTCTTAGGTCGTGCGAAACAGAGAAAGAAGGGGACAAGAGAGGCGAGTGGGCCGCGCGAGGGAGTATATGTAGAAAGACGTTGGGGCAGGGCGATCATTTCACAGGGGCTGCTGACTCGGATCCACGCAAGGGTGAGGTGCCAGCGTGCCACGCGAACAAAAGTGACAATTTTGTATCGAGTTTCTGTCTCTATTGCCATAAACGTAGTGGCAACTGGTAAGAGTGCTATGTCAGGAGGCGTCGTCCGTTATAATGATAAAAAGTTAATTATCACCGCTAGACCAAAACAAATTGAGCCCGGCCCCGAGCCTGACAGGTTTTAGCCCACCCAGCGCCCACGAACCTTTGTGGACAAGGCTTGGGCACATATCCCGCCGTCCAGAAAAATCTCTTGACTCAAGTCCCGAACGAAATACTATTTTTAACTATTTTACATTATAAATATCTAGACCTAGCATGAAAAATTAGGCCCGACTTAGCGAGTGGGTGGTCATAAGCAGGACTTTTTTTTCAAAATAACTGTTTTTTTTTGGCGTGGTCCGAACCCGGTCCGGCGCGCAAAATGCCAGGTCTTCTCCCCGCTAACGCACTGCTGCTGTTCTCCTTCCCCTCCTCATCTCCATCGCGGCCAGGACGACCTCCGCCGCCGCCGCTCGGCTGCTCTCCGCCGGCGCCCCTTCCTCTTTCTCCTCCTCTCCAGTCGCGCCGTCCCCCCGCGCCCCTTCCTCCTCGCCGTCACGGCCGCGCGGCCCGTGCTCCGCCTCGCCGTCGCCGCCGCCTCCAAGGAAAGAGAGACCGGGAGGGGGAACCGACGGGGGCGTGGTGAGGAGGGAGTCAAGCGGAGGAAGGAAGGAAGGAAGTGGGGCTGCGGTCGCCGGGCCGCCGGCGGACTACCATGTCGTCTCTGGGGACGTCCAAGGGGATCCTGGAGATCGCCAAGTTCGGCGTCTACGTCTCCGTGCCCGTCGCGCTCACCTACCTCGTCGCCACCGACTCCAAGACCCTCAAGAAGCTCATGGGCCTCGTGCGTTCCTTCTATACTTCTCAATTTCTCATTCCCTCCCCCTCTCGTTCCCTGTCAGGCGAATTAGCTGCTGCTGCTTGTGTCACTAGGGCTTGAGACCGATTGGGGATCTGTGGTTCAGTGCTGCTACCTGCGCCACATGTTTTGGCCACTAGGGTTTTAGCTGATTTGGATTTGGATGGTGCGACACAATTTCAGTCTTCTACTCAGCGGTGCTAGTTCATTTAAGCAAATTCAATTGGGTTTAGATGCAACATTCTTATTATCCTTCGTTTTTTCTACTAGAATGTTGAGAAGTGTGTATCATTTGCATTATTTTAGGAAGAAAAATTAAGCTTTGGTACAACGGTATGCAGCTGAATCCCTGACTCCACAAATCCTATTACAAGAAACAGAGTCATGGTTCTGTCACTAAAGTGCCAAACGCCTGCTTGTATCGAGTCCTTGGAGTTTGGGTACTTTTCTTCTTCGTAGTGAAATTTTTATCTATAACTCTTCTTATAGATATTCTTGTTTGGATTCCTAATGAACATCCTTATTGACGTAGCATGCATATGGCAGTTTGTTCTACTGCTAATTGACATGGTTGTGGTATGGTTTGTTGACAGATGCTCAGACGTTTCTTTATGTTCATCAATGAAAAATTTCTCACAATTGATTGATCCATTGGGTCTCAAACTTGAAAAAGATGAATTCATTACGTGTATGTGTTGGTAGACCCTGGACTATATAGATTTACATCAAGATTAAACTACCTGTGTACCCCTTTGCAGCGTCCTTATGTGGTTTATCCGCCCGAAGGCCCACGCCCTCCACCACCAGAAGAACTGCGTGAAAGGGCTCGGGAGATTGCTCGGAAGAGGCAGCAGAGCTGAATGGATGGTGGTCTCTAGGCATCTGTATCCAGGGAACAACACAGATGATGAATCCATCTCTATATGGATGTTGACTTGTTACTCTGGTTGTTGATATGGAAGTGGAACAGCCCTGGTCTTTAACATCCTTTTACTGATGTTGTTACAATAATATCCACAAGTGGTTTGTTGTGATGCCTGATGTTGTGAGCCATGAGATACTGAGAAGAGAGAATCGACTAAATATAATTTGATGTATCTCTCGTGGGAGCTAGGTCATATGGTACGACTTCAACAGTGTTGTTTGAATGGTGAAGAATAAAAGAAAGTTATTTTTTTTCTGTATTTGATATTATATAATTATGATTCCAACAATCTGAGTTTTCACTCATAATTGAAGAATGCAGTTGTTGGAAATAAGCATGATAAGCCTTTGGGCATAGATAATCACTCTATTTGGGTTTCATATTTACAACAGAAGTTTATAGATAATCATGGCCACCAACACATGGATTATGTACAATTGTGTGCATGCTAATGGAGTGTTTGTGCATGTAGTTTGAGGGATCAGTCTGTTCTTGTACGACTGGAGCTTCTGTAAGACCCGTTATACAGAGGTAGCAGTGACCGGGCAATTCCTCTCCTTCCACCAAGACAACGCCAATAAAACGCCAGAAAAAACAGAACAGCGCCGATTGGGAATGCCCATCTGTTCAAGTTCATCAGCAGCATATAAGAGTAATATCACAGCATAGCAGGCAGTAGAGATGCCATGGGCAGCGTAGAGTTGAAGGGAGGAAGATTCATGACCTGTCAAGATCAAGAACAGGGCTGTAGACGATGGTTTCCCACGAAGAGACGATCATGTGCCAGACGGGGTTGTAGTACAGGGACTCTGATGACCAGAACAGCCTCGTATATGTCTCCAGGAAGGCAAACATCACCCACGCAGCGACTTCAAGCAGGAAGAACTTGATCAAGAAGCGCCCAATGACAACCATGACCAGGGAGAATATGACCAGCCAGTTGAAGAGTTTGTTGTTGTACTCCTTGATGAAAAGAGCTCGGGACCTTGCCAGCATCTGGAAGCATGCATAGAAGGTAAAACTAGGTTCAGTTAAACATTGTCAGGAAAGGGAATACAGCCAAAAGGTCATTTTGTATTTTTTTACTGGGCGAACATAAAGTTGAGGACACCTAATAGCTGCATTATCCCTGAAATCCATCACAGTTATAGTCATCATCCAAATGAAAAGCTATCTGAACTTGTAAGTGAAACGAGAGAAACCTTTGACATTCGGCGTTGATAGCTTTCCTTTGCTGGCCCCACGCAATCCATTTCAAAACTTTGATTGCAGAGAAGAAATCCGGCATCAAATTTTGCCATGGATGGAAGCTTCAAGACTTGAAGTTGTTCCATTTTATCTTCACACTCTGAGAACTGCTGCTTCAGACAGCTTTGATGACCGGTACTCATTAGCTTGACCAAAGTTTCTGTAGACCTAAAATGAATACCTGGTTAGGTATGCTGAAGATATTATCGGTATTGAATATCCCTAAAAGCCATGAAACTCAAATGCAAAATATAATACACTTAAACACTACACTTTCATACTTAAGGCTCAGAAAAAATAAACATAAAATTTTGAACTCTGTAGCAAGCAATGCAAACCTTCACGACCAAAACAAAATGCAAAAGATAAGATTTTAATATGGACTGAATAAAATGATGAACAAAATATGTAGAAAAACCTTTTAATTTCTTCATCAAGCTTGAAGATGGACAGAGCAGCATGATGTTTACCCAAATGCTGCTTGTCAAAAAGCCTTCTAGCTTCATCTTTTGCCAGATCATGGAACTGCTGAAGTTTATCCACTGACACTGGTAGACCTGCTCTGCCCATTCTTTCATTGTACACCTTCAAGCAACGTTCAAGAATGGCCTTATTGAAAATTTCAACAAGTGACCCGGTTGATGGAATTTCACCTTTATTCAAAGCCTCAAGTATCTAAACAAAGAGAGATAATTTTAGATAATATTTTGCAATGATATATCAATATACTCAGTACCAGCAATGAACTCTCCAAGAAGTATTACCTGCCCTAGGAAGGATACAAACTCTGTTCCATTCAGAGTTCTACCCTGCACAATTTTCGGTTTTATCATGGATGCAACAACTTCTTTCAATTGATCCCTCTTCTTTACATACAACGGATCAAGTTCTTGGTCCTCCATATCACATAACTTTGTCCTTTGCAGATGAGGCTGGAAAAGAATAAGTTCAATCTCACCTACTGATGATGCAAAAGGAAACCATAGAGTATAATCGCATTGGAGTATAGGACAGTATTGAAGAACTGTAATATTGTTCTCATATATGTATCTTGATGAAAGAACAAAGACAAGCATATGTTTCCTCCACACACAAAAAAATCATGTTTTCCAATTTTAGTAAGACTATATAAATTTTATGCTCATAGCATAATGTGTACTGAAGTGGCATATTTGAGATCCAACAACTCACAGCCATCAATGCTTCTAATTGCATTGCAGAGCATGAAAAATCAAAGGTTGTCTCACCTGTGGTAAACTAAAAGCTGTACTGTTATCTCCCATAACCGCCAAAGAGTCTCTGATTTGGTTGAGCTGATGTAAAACAAACATTATTTTCTTCAACCAGAATTGCATATCATATCTTCAAGTTAATAATATATGGGCTGAAAAACATTACCTCGTCAATATTTTTGTCTCCTGCAGCAATATAAAAGAGGGGTAAGTTGAGTTCAATTGCAGATAAAAACTATCCAGATCTGCAAAGTGCAAAGGAAAATGCTTCCATAGAAAATTAAACAGCACACTAAAAATAGGTTGTAAGATATCTTGAAGACTTGAACTAACCATTGTTGTTAGGTACCCGTAGGAGAGCTTCATCAACCATCTGCTGAACAGATTTTCCTTCTGGGTCATGGAAGTTACCGCATCAGAGGAAGTTTGATAAATTATGGCGCACGGGTGTATACTACTACTACTGCTGCTGCTACAAGTCTACAACACATGTTGATTACTAATTAATTAAGTACCTTTCGAAAATGTAGGTACCTAACAAGAGCATCAACCAGTTACTGTAACAAAATGAACTTTATGAACTCCATGACAATAATATGATAAAAGAGATGAGGTAACAAAGTGTTAAAAATAGTATGACTAACTCCTTCAAAAGACTAATTTATACAGATACTCTTGTAGACAGAAAAGAAACAGTAACGAATCTGATTATTTGAAGAATTGGCACTATTTCTGTATCCAGAAAGATGTTAAGGTCAAGCATACCCCTAAAATTTTTGAGCAGATTCAACATTTTCAATGCTAGGAGACAAGGGAATATGCCTTATAATGACAATTATGATGATCTGATCTGTGTCTGGTTATCATTTTTTCTGCATTCCAACAAAAATGTCCATGTGTTTCAGGAAGCAACTTACGGAGGAAATCCTCTGGATCAACCACAGAAGTTTTGCTGGCTCAAAAGCAACATCTTGCCCTGCAGAGCCAAACAACATGATTTTGATATACTTTTCCACTTCATAACTCTGAGACGTAGGTTAATGAAGTTTTACCTTGACTCTAGTTACCACAAGTCAGAGAGGAAAATGGCAACATGTTAGAATATGACGCACTTGTTAAAATGAGAAGCTTGAATCAGAAATAGACGGAGCGAACCTTCCATAGAATTCTTCAGCAATTTCGACAGCAAATGAAAGCCTCGATATATCGGCTTCACGAATCTGTCACCAAAAGTAAGTAAATTTAACTCCTATCAAATGAACGAGTGGTGGTGAAGCCATGAGGCATCATGAGAGAGGAACTCACTGTTTCAGGAAGATTGTAGATCAGAACAGAACTTAAAACAGTTGCCAGAGCAAATATCCTGTCACAAGCAGAAAGTCCAACATGTTTGTAGCCACATCCAAACCAAAATACTATAAGTCAGAATTAAGTACATCTTGTAGGCAACAAACCTATCATCATATACATTTGATTTTCCAACACTCTCAAATCCTTCAGTGTCCATGTATAGGACAGACACTTTGGAGCCACCAATATCCACCTCAACAGGGGAACCCCATACCCATATACCTGTGTAGTGTGGATCAGTCTGTCAACATCCTTCAATAGGGATATATTACAAGAGTACACTACATCGGTATAATTGTCAGGCCCCCTTTACCTTTTGTTTTGGTATCCCGCATGTGTCCAACTCCAAAACCTGTGCAGAAAATTTATTTATTTATCATCCTCCAGTTCAAAATCCATGTGTTTGATTTTTCTGAAGCATGATTTTTATAACATAAGCTACGTACCTTTGTCACATGATAGGGAGAGAAGTTGGTTGAGAAGAAAAGATTTTCCAGACCGATAGGCACCAATAACCTGATTGTATAATAAAAGAGACAGAACTTGGTATGTAAAAGGCAGCAGGTTTGTGTTTGTTATGAAAAACTAACTACCCCGTATTCATTTAAAGCAATAAGCCATTGGACTAATAAAGTTTCGAACATACAGAGACAGCAGCTATTGGAGTTCTGATCCTTTCAATTGCCTCCAAACCTTCTTTTGTGAGACGGAGTTTCGTATGCCCATGGTCTGGCTCCACTATTGGAAACCTGCTTAATTGTCTCTGATCAAAAGTCTGATAACTAAAATGAACTTTTTACAGACTATATCTTGTCGAAATGACCTATGTTTCCATCTCAAATTATTTTATGTCATCTGAGTTAAAGTAGAAATAAACGGAAGAAAACTACTGCAGACATGTTTCACTCCCATTCGCTCAGGTAATAGAGAACTCTGAAGATAGCTTCACCATCCATACAAACAGAAAAATCCCCATTTGATTAGATCACTGTCTGTGGATAAGAAAATATAATATGGTGAAGTGCTCAGTTTCATAAAATTGACATCCATTCATGATACAAAGCATATACAGATATATGCTTGATTAGTCATGATTCCCTCAAAGTGCTAGTACCTATTCCACGTTTCACATGATTATACCCACTTGGTTTAAGGTTTCAGAACCATGCGTCACCAACACAACCTACTCCCCTTACTATCTCTGGTTTCACACGTGCCAACATTCTTAGATGACAAACCAAAATTCATGGCCATGCTTCTGAGGATTCAAGTTTTTTTTTATTAAAAAAATGTGTCCAGTCCAAGCCTTCTGAGGGATTCAAGTTTTTTTTTTAATAAAAAAAAAGAGTCCAGTCCAAGCGTCAGATGCTTGGTAGTTGGAAATATTTAGGCATTTTAAACACATACATAAACATCGCATCATATACTTTGGGTGAAATGGTTGATCCAGCATTGAAATTATGGCTTGGTCATATCGGAGAAATCTCCTAAATGAGATGACAATATCATCTCAACCCGAAGCTAGCATATGGATCGCAGCAATGAACAATTGAACGCACACCAAATCTGACACATGAATGTAGGAAATGGGTAGAATCGCCCAAACATTTCTGCACTTACGCGCGCTGGAGGCCGCCGGGATCGGCAACCCCTGGCACCGCGGCAGCAAGCAACCACACCGCGGCCCACATCGCCGGGGCACACCCCATCTCTGCGACGCCGCAGCCGCCCCCTGGTCACAGGCTCACAGCCGAGAGCCGAGCACCAATCGCGATCGCCCCCACCCTTACGGCTGCTCCTGTGGTCGGCAAGGAGGCTTCGAGGTGGAGGTGAAGGAAAGCAGGGAGGGAAAGGTCCCGCGCCAACAGCGGTCGCGGGGTGATAAAAGGGCGCGGCCGGCCGGACGCGCGGTGGCGGTGGCCTTTGCTTGGCGAGAGGGAGGAAGGAGACGTCGAGGCGAGGCGAGGTGTGGAGGTGGTGGTCGACGAGCGGAAGCGGAAGACGCGACGAGACGGGAAGCCCAGATTCTTCGTTTTCGTTAATTAATCCGGTTCAAATAGCGTTCAAAAAAAAATCCGGTTCAAATAAATCGTTGGTAGGATGTGGATCATGGGCCGGTAGTCGTGGGCTGCAGGCCTGTCCTCACTCCTCAGTGAGGATTTGGGCCCATTCTACGAGCAGGGCAGAGACCATCAGTCCAGTAATAAAACAGAAACGAAATAGCTTAGACTGAACCACCATGGTAGATTATATGATACCCCAGATTGCAGTTAAATTTATATTTACACATCTTTTGATTCCTGTAGCCTATTATATTATATTTATACATCCTCTTACTGTAGAGTGCAATTGCAGTTAAATTTACACTAGTTGTTAGTTCAGCTTTAAGGCTGCCAGCTTTTAAGGCTTGTTTTGTTCCTTCAGATGGGATGCTAGTTTCGTTCGTCTTCATATTGGTGGTTTGAACCAAGAATCTATTTTCGTTCGTCTTCATATTGGTGGTTTGAACCACAAGAATCGCCTCAGACCATTGCGTATATGTTTGAACGGCTTCAATTTCTGGCCGGAACACTGTACATGACTGACGAACAAGAATGCCTTCAATTTTTGTTGGACTTGTGCGGCAAATGCTCCCCTTCCTAGTGTGTTCTGCTGGATGTTACATTGTCAATATTAACTCAAAACTTTGATATTATAACCAATGCGGTATCAGACTGAAAAGTGGTTAGTGGTTACTCTGTTAGTCTGTTTGGCCACAGAATTAATTGCAGTGTGGCAGCATTGCTCAGTCAGGATTTGGGCCTACAGAGATCATTAGTCCAACAAAACAGAAACGGAATAGACGTCATCGAATAGAAGTGCATCTTGATTCCTGTATCCGATTTTCACATCCTCTAAACGCACACAGTTGTTAGTTCAGCTTACATCCTCTAATCCTCTAAATGTGTTAAATCGACACAGTTATTAGTTCAGCTTTTAAGGCTTGTTTCCTTATTCAAATCGTTCGTCGTCATTGGTGGTTTGAACCACAAAAATCGCCTCAGAGAATTGAGAGTGGCTTCAGTTTCTGACCGAACTATTGCACTGACAGACAAACAAGAAAGCCGTCAGCTTTTGTTGGATTGTTCGGCAACTGCTCCCCCTCCTGGTCTGATCGTCAGATTATTAATATTAACTCAAAAACTTAAGATTAGTTTTCCTGCAAAAAAATATCAGCAATGCGGCATCAAATTCTGAAGTGGTAACTCTGTTTGGCCTCAGAATTAATTGCAGTGTGGCAGCATGGCTCGTAACGAGCCAATCAGCCCCGAAAGATGGTGTTTTTCATTGCTGAGTTTCATCACCGGCCATCATCAAATATTCAGATCCACTTCTACAATTGAGCATATAAATGCATAATCTCAAGGCAAAAATAAATAAAAGCATGGAGAAGCACAAAACCTCTAGACGAAAAGACGCGCGAAAGATCTGCGGCCTGGCATGGGGACATCAGAATTGCAGAGTTGGCAGCATGGCTCGTAACGAGCCAATCAGCCCCGAAAGATGGTGTGTTTTGATTGCGTTTTTCATCACAGTCCACCAAGCTCGCATGGAGAAGAAAAAACAGAATTATTCCTATCTCACCAGGGGCAAGAAAAAAAAAACACAGAAAAATTCCTATCTCGCAAGGGGAAAAACCAGAGAGGGAAAAAAATCAGAGAAACTCCATCTACACAAAGGAAAGAAAGAAAAAAATACGACGATGCTTCATGACAACTACGATGTAGAGAAACAAAAAGGATGGCGCGACGGCGGCGGCGAGCACGGAAAGCAGAAACCCTAGCTAGCCGCCAGGTGATGTGTTTGAGCGACGAGGGAGGTTGTCAGTTTATAAAGGAGCTGGGGTGTTGTTCCAGCCGTTGGATTGCTTCCCGAGGACGATGTGACGATGAGGGTTTGATTATTCTGCCTAATGGGGCCCAATTCAAGGAGAAGGAACTTCGGCCTTTCAAATGGAAACAAGACGACATGCTGGCCCATACCAAAAGAACAGCCCAAGAAATAAAAAAAAAAGAGAGACAACAGCCCAAGCCGTTAGCCTGGTGCTGTGCATCCACTCTCCTGAACGCGGCTGCTCCTCCCCCGATGGTGCTCCCGAGCTCGGCAAATGTTGTCTCCGGTGCGGCATCGGCGGCGGCCTGAAGCGCGACGGGTAGCACGACAGCGGCAATCTTTAGCGGCGCCGTCGGTGGCGGCGGCGGGATACTCGCTGCACGCCACGCGCTGACATGGATGAGCCGCCGCGCCCGCCCCCGCCCCCGCCCCCGCGGCCCGCGCTCAACTCCGCCGCCGCGACGTCATGGCCGGAGCTTCTGGCGCCGTTCGACCTCTCCCGCCTCCGCGCCACGCTCTCCTCGCACCCGCTCACCCCGCGCCGCCTGGCCCGCCTGCTCGCGCTCCCGCTCTCCCCGGCCACATCCCTGCTCCTCCTCGACTGGTACGCGTCCTCGCACCCGGCGCTCTCGCTCTCCTCCCTCCCGCTCCGCCCCATCCTCGCGGTCGGGGCCGCCGACCCCGACCGCGCGCTCGCGCTCCTCGACTCCCTCCCGCGCTCCCGCCTGCCCCCGCTCCGCGAGTCCCTCCTGCTTCCGCTCCTCCGCTCCCTGCCCCCCGGCCGCGCGCTCCACCTGCTCGACCAGATGCCCCGCCGCTTCGCCGTCACCCCGTCCTTCCGCTCCTACAACGTCGTCCTCTCCACGCTCGCGAGGGCCGACTGCCACGCCGACGCCCTGCTCCTGTACCGCCGGATGCTCGGGGACCGCGTCCCGCCCACCACCTTCACCTTCGGCGTCGCCGCGCGCGCGCTCTGCCGCCTCGGCCGCGCCGGCGACGCGCTCGCGCTGCTCCGCGGGATGGCGCGCCACGGATGCGTGCCCGACGCCGTGCTCTACCAGACCGTCATCCACGCCCTGGTCGCGCAGGGCGGGTCGCCGAGGCCGCGACGCTCCTCGACGAGATGTTGCTCTGCGGGTGTGCGGCGGACGTGAACACCTTCAACGACGTAGTGCTCGGGCTGTGCGGGCTCGGGCGTGTGCGGGAGGCGGCCAGGCTGGTGGACAGGATGATGATGCAGGGATGCACGCCAAGTGCGGTGACATATGGGTTCCTCCTGCGGGGGCTGTGCCGAACAAGGCAGGTGGACGAGGCATGCGCGATGCTGGGGAGGTTGCCGGAGGTGAACGTGGTGATACTTAATACGGTGATCCGGGGATGTCTGGCGGAGGGGAAGCTGGCCAGGGCGACAGAGTTGTATGAGATGATGGGTTCAAAAGGATGCCGGCGGATGTGCACACATACAATATATTGATGCATGGCCTTTGCAAGCTTGGGAGGTTTGGTTCAGCAGTGCGGATGCTTGATGAGATGGATGGATGAGAAGGGCTGTGCACCAAACATCGTGACCTACTCTACCTTTCTGCATTCATTTTGCAGGAATGGCATGTGGGATGAGGCAAGAGCAATGCTGGATCAGATGTCAGCCAAGGGCTTTAGTATGAACTCCCAAGGATACAATGGAATCGTATATGCCTTAGGCAAGGATGGCAAGCTTGATGAAGCGATGAGGCTTGTCCAAGAGATGAAGAGTCAGGGGTGCAAGCCTGATATTTGCACGTACAATACAATAATCTATCATCTCTGCAACAATGACCAGATGGATGAGGCAGAACATATTTTCGGAAACTTACTTGAAGAGGGTGTTGTCGCCAATGGAATAACCTATAACACTCTCATTCATGCACTTCTTCGCAGTGGAAGGTGGCAGGAGGGCCTAAGGCTTGCAAATGAAATGGTACTTCATGGTTTCCAGCTAGATGTTATTAGCTACAATGGCCTGATTAAAGCCCTCTGCAAAGAGGGGAATGTTGATCGGAGTATGGTGTTGCTTGAGGAAATGATGACAAAGGGAATTAAGCCAAATAATTTCTCGTATAACATGCTGATCAATGAACTGTGCAAGGCAGGAAAGGTACGTGATGCATTGGAGCTCTCAAAGGAGATGCTGAATCAAGGACTGACACCTGACATTGTGACTTACAATACTCTCATAAATGGGTTATGCAAAGTGGGATGGACACATGCTGCTTTAAATCTCCTAGAGAAGCTACCCAACGAAAATGTGCATCCTGACATTATCACATACAACATTCTCATTAGTTGGCACTGCAAAGTCAGATTGCTTGATGATGTGGCTATGCTTCTAGACAAAGCAGTAAGTGGGGGAATAGTTCCTAATGAGCGAACGTGGGGAATGATGGTGCAAAATTTTGTCAGGCAGCCAGTCAATCTTGAGGGTTACTAGAAGGATTTATTGTATATGCTGTATGTCATAACGGTTTTGGGACTCTGCAGCTCGATATGCTTTTAGATCAATATGGGCGCATCTTAACTTCCAGCATAGTGATGTCGTGCATGTTGATCTGGTACATATTTCTTCTCTGTTACAACTTGTACCATCAAAGTTACATCTATTGACCAAGTAATGCTATTTAATATCTTCCTGTGCAGAGTGATAATGGATACAATAGTACTAAATTTTGAGTTGTACTCACAAGGTACAAGTAAATTTAAAAAGCTAGCAACTTTCTAATGAAATGTGCTCGTTGCAAAATTACTGATGTTTGTAGCATAAGCATACTTTCTTTATGTAGTAGAATCTTTTGTTCCTTTGGAAATCTTGACCCAACCATGTTCTGTGCTCTAGAATTTAGAGAACCTGTTATAGGCATTTACAAACTGTATGTGCATACCTGTTTGGTTGTCATTATGGCAAACAAGGGCAACTACCCAACTGAAACAATGGAAATCTTCATCTTAGCAGTGATGTAATATGATTGGTAAATTGGTTAATTGCGTGAAGTGTAGCTTGATGACATATAATGCTGAGCTTTGCAGGACTATTGGAGCCCTTTTTCTCTTAGATTACTGATTAAGCACCAAAGCAAATAGCCATTGACAGAATTCAACCAGAGTCTTGGCTGAAAATGCTTGAACGGGAAGGGAAGATCTCTGGTAGCACAGTGGTCATGTTGTGAGTGACAATAATGGACCTTTCTACTATTCCAGCTGCACATCCTACCTACAGTATTGAACCGCCCTAAGGTACAGAAATCCTAGGGTGCAAGAAAAATCTGTTAATTGGACGTACAGTACTTGCTTACATAATCTTTTTCCTATTTGAAAAGGCAGCATATAGTATGAAACAAGTGCACCCCAAATACTTTTTCATTGTTTGTTTTCTTAAAGTACGACCCAACTTGCTTATAGTCATACAGTGTTCTTCAGAATATGACCACTTCAATTGAGGTGCCGAAGGGTAGTTCCAGTGTCTACTTTAAAAGAAAAAGGGGGTAGCTTGAGGGAACATAATAGTTTGATAGTTCTGGAGTAGCTAATGCTCTTGAGGTTTAATCTGAATTTTTTGGCATAAGCAGCCTATTATTGTGCGCTCTTATTGGATTCTCTGAGTTAGCAATATCAGAAGAGACTGTGAAATTGCTGTTGAGATTGTGATGGGATCCTGTATAGAATTGGTAAATATCGTAAACTAGAGATAGATTTTCTCTTGATTTTCCAAAGACAGGGCTGTATTGGTACACTCCATTATCAGCACTATGATAACTGTGTGGGTTTTCTAATTACAGGAATCCCGTTTGGTGCAGGATGAAGACCTTGATCCTTCATATAGATGAAAATTTTGTGTTATGTTACTTCTTTATCTTTGGGATCTGTATTCTTGAAAACTGATGGATTTGTCTCCGTGTGAATTAAAGTCGTAGTAGCAGCACTGTGAAGGGGGCAATACATAGATGAATGCCAACACTGTGATTTTAAACATGAAATACTGTGGTTTAACGAAATCAAATTATTAAAGTTAAGCTTATTGTATTGCATAGGTATTGGCCAACTAATGTATTGTACAGTATTGGCCAACTAATGTATTGTACAGTATTGGCCTCCATGAGGCTCTGCCCTGTGGGTGGCTGCATTATTCTAGCACTACTGATCTGGAGCTTGGATGGATTCACGCTTTTTCATGAAGACAGCGTGTTTATTAAGCTTTTCACTCATTCATTTAACCGGATATGACCACAAAAACTTGGAGTCATGAAGTTTGATCTACTGTACCTTTTCCTACAGAGATGCAATTTGTTTCATTTGGTGACTGTAAGCTTACTTTTTGATAGTTTCCTCTTTTCTCCTGGCTTGTGCAGTGGCAGTGAACCATTGAGTAAGTAGTTGAATACCTGTGAAGCCTGAACCAGAGTCTCCCTGGGATGGTTGGCACTGATCGTGAATTTGTGATGCTGTCTGTGGTCAGCATTTTCCACGGCAGTTAAGGTCAACATTTGGCCTCTCTTGAGATTCTGACATGTGTGTTTTTAAAGAACATCCATCGTGCTGAACATGCTGAACCCAAGCACTTTGATTGATGAAATGCTGAAAAAATCATGCTTGTGGCACATGAAAGCATGGCAAGGCCTCCCAGGTACTATACGTATTCTTGTATTATTGTGCCTATTTTCAGTTTGTTGAAGCACTATTCACACACACAAAAAAAGTTTGTTGAAGCACTGTGTTATTGTAACCAGGCATTTCCTAATTCTGTGCAGCACAATATGTTGGTGGCATCCAGGAGCTTTTCCTCTCCGCCCAGCATTCTACTAGTATTTGCTTGCGAGGCCCAAGGCAAGCGACCCAGCGTCGTGTGTCTCCGGCGCACTCCCCGCCGCCTCACCGTCCCCAAACCGAAAGCCAGCGACCAGCGTGCGCGGCTCGGCCGCAGATGCAAGGCGTGGTCGTCGACTCGTCGCTTCCGAGGCTTCCCCAAAGCACGATGCGTCCACGGCCAAGGCGGCGGCCATACACGGAGTGTACCAATACAGCCCTGTCTTTGGAAAATCTCATAGTGCTGATAATGGAGTGGACGCATCGTGCACTATGAGATTGCATACAGCCCTGTCTTTAGAATTGGTAAAAAATCTCTACAGCCCTGTCTTTGGAAAATCAAGAGAGGGATCCTGTATAGAATTGGTAAATATCGTGACACTCCATTATCATCTCTATGAGATTGCATATGCATACAGCCCTGTCTTTAGAATTTGTAAAAATCTCTGAGTATGTGTTTGCGTGCGTGCGTGGGAGCAAGAGCAAACTGGATGGGTCATGGGAGTTGTTACCGTTCCAACCTCGCGTGTTCCTATGCAGGATTTTTATTCACCCTTGGATTCTGCGGCTGTCTGCTCGAAGCTGCAAACGGCTTGGCCTGCTCCGAGTACGAGTGAGATCCTGCGGCAGCGAAGCCGAAGCTGAGGAGCACTGGTACGTGTCTGCAGTCCAGCCGGCCAAGGCGTTCGGTTGGCTGGTTAATTTTCTGTTTGGCGATCGATGAATGCTGCTGCCCCGCCTGCTGTGGCGGTTGTGCAAGAATGCAAGAGGGGCGGGCGGGCGGGCGTGCGCTACACCCACGCTGCGGCCTCGGCGTCGCGTCTCGGCCGTCGAGACACCACGAGCGCGGCGCAGACCTGCACGCACACGCACACGCACACGCTCACGCTCACGCCGGGCCTCCTTTCGCTGCACTGCACCGCCTGGCATGGCAGTCCGAGACTCCGAGTGCACGACCAGCGCAGCGTTGGGCTGCCACTCGGTCAATGGCTCTGGCCCCACACGGCTGACGGCACGGTAACCACCGTTGTTGTCTCGGTCAAAATGGATGTACCACCGCCACTCGTGCGCACTGCTAGGAGGCAGGCGTACCTGTGTCCTCCCGATGCTTCTCCAGTGCTCGCTTGGACGCTTACCGGGTGGAAATTACTAGAGAAAATTTCCTCGTTGCCATCAAATTTTCCAAATTTCCCTCATTGCCATCGGGTACAATTTGCATTTCTCTATCTGCCATTTCCGTCACTTCCCGTTAGTATCGCCGTTAGGTGGTGTGGAAGCCTCTTTTGTCGCCTCTATTCCCAAGTCGCTGGCCATCTGAAGCCGGAAAGGACATGGGCAAATGTGCTAAACAGCGTGTTCGCTGGTGGGTGCTGATGTTGATTTGGATTGGTGGGGGCTGGTTTTTTTTAGAGGAAAACATCGTTGGTTGATTGAATAAGTCTGACTGAAATCAACAAGCGAACAGGGTGAAAGTCTGCATCGTCACTGAGCGGTGCCCAAGAGTCATGACTCAACTGCATGCACTGGACTGGTTCACAGGCCCCGTTCGGCTTATCTTATATCCGGCTTGTTCGATTTTTTTCAGCTAGAACAGTGTTTTTTTCTCACACCATTTTAGTTAGAATAGTATTTTTCAGCCACTTTCAACCAAGTTTCAGCGAGCCGGACGGGGCGGCCTCTAGCTCTTGCGTTGCTAATTTACTACTCCTGCTAGACTGCTATCCAACGAATTAGGCACTTGATCACAGCACCACCAGTGCGTTGCTACTACAACTTTTTACTCTTTCTCTAGCTTGCTAGAGTTGCTCCAAGTTCTGCTCCTGGCTGTACTGCTTTTGGGATGCGTCCGTCAAGTATGCCACCTTGAATTGCAGTTCGACGACACAGTAGTTGATGGCATGACGCAACGTGCCTTGCTCTGCCGCTGCACTCTGTCCGCTCACACGAAGATGAAGCTCCACCGTCCACGTTCATCACCTACCTTGGCCTCGCTGATGCTTCTCCAGTGCTCACTTGCTCGCGGCAGCAGCAATGTTGGTGTACACGTACCGTTCTCAGTCTTTCTGCTCATACCAGCTTGGATTGGAAGCCGGCCCTGCTGCTTGCCCCGCGGCGCGACTGCACGCCTGACAGGAGAGAGAGGCCACGAGCTGGGTGCTCACGCTTGGCGCTTCACGTACTGCTTCCGCCGCGGGGGCGATGTGACCAGGTTGTTGCCGCCGCGGCGCCTGCGCTCGGCGCAGCCCTCGAGGCGATGCTTGGTGCACCCCAGCCGCCGCCGTAGGTGGTGCTGGACGCGACCGCGACGGTGCGGGCATGCGGCCAAGGGCGACGCCTAGGCAACCAGCGGTTCACGGCCTCCGGCTCCGACCGCGGGAGCGGCGCGCAAGCGCAGGCGCAGCTTCCCGTGCGGCCGACTGCCGACCACGACCGCGTTGAGATTCACCTCAAGCAAACGCGAGGGCACGCTAAAGCTTGGCTCCCGCTGCCAATGGCAGGTTTGGCTCTGCCTACGGCCGCCGGCAGGTCGTAGACCGATGGATAATAGAGATAGATAGTGGGGCCCAGCTGTCGGCAACTATAAGTTAGTAGGTTTTAACGGAAGTGGTATCGAAGGAAACACAAAATATATTCGATGGCAATGAAGGAAATTGAAAAATTTACATGGCAACGAAGGGAGTGCTATAATATTTAGTGGCGGTGAAGGAATTGGCTCAAATTACTAGCGGCAAAATGATGAGGGCACACCAAACTTACAGCAAACGATTGACCTCGATAAAACCTCCTATAGAACCCAAGACCTCTAATATACAAGAATAGAAAAAATAAGTACTCTCTCTATCCCTGAAATACCGTTGTTTTAGGAATGAATCTACACGGGTGTTTGTTCAGATTTACTTCTAAAACAGCGGGTTTTTTAGACGGAGGGAGTACATGATTCGAATGCCATAACACTTTAAATCCCTACAAGATTTTATAAACTTAGGCCTCGTTTAGATTAGAGTTAGGAATCAGTATTCGGCACTGTAGCACTTTCGTTTGTATTTGATAATTATTGTCCAATCATGGACTAACTAGGCTCAAAAGATTCGTCTCGTAATTTACAATCAAACTATGTAATTAGTTATTTTTTTATCTATATTTAATACTACATGTATATGTCTAAAGATTTGATGTGATGGAGAGAGAGTGAAAAAACTTGCAATCTAAACGAGGCCTTACAAAAGTTTAGAGAAAAAAAAAACTTTGAAAATTCCTCCTATGTTTTATTTTTCTCCGCTCCAACGAGCCCTAAATTGTGTTGTGTCGTAGACCGCCAATGCAACGAGTCCCAGTGTAGTGTACTACTCCTATGTCGCTCCTTTGTTGAACCGGTACTGTATCCAAATTATTTCGTTCCAAGCCAAAAAAAGTGCTCTGTACTTTTGTACTACTATGCACCCGTGTACCGTAACAAATGTTTCGATAACCAAGTGGTGGCAGCACTGCCTTGGGGTTGGGGTTGGGGTTGGGTTTCTTTTTCCATTTTTTTTCTTTTTCTTTTTACTTTTACCGCGGCGTGGAAAAGAGGGCAAGTGGTGGGGAGGAGAGAACCCACGCCGTCGCCATGGGCCTGCGCGCGCGCTGCCGCACACACACGCGTAGTCACGCACACGCGCACCCCGCCCGCACGGCCGCACGCGTCGGCCTCGTGGGCTCGTGGCCTCGTCCTCCACACGGCGAGCGCAGCGCAGAAAGGCAGACGTGCACGTACGACGACCGGCGGTGTTATTTCGTTGAAACGGTACGGAAGCGAAAAAAAGGCAAATATCCTCTGCGCGCTGCCGTCAATGATGCCGGGCCCCACCCTCGCGGTAAACCGCCGGCCAGCCCAGCACAGTAAAAACTAGCAGTAAGTGATGACCCAGTCAACATAGAAGCTGTTCACAACAGAGCTGACGTGCGATGACTTGGACTGCTCAATAGACCATGTGTTGGTGTTTGCAACAATGGTAGTAGTAGGACGAGGACACTACTAGCACTACACTATAGGAGTTTAGTACATCGTTTTGGATCCACATAAATTTCAAAAATCCAAATAGAAAAAACTCAAATGAGTTGTTTAGCTGATGATTTCTACTACTGATAAATCAGCTGAAGCTAATTTGTTATAAGAGAAAAACACTTTATAAAATAGGCTGATAAGTCTGACTAGAATCTCATCCGAACACTTTATAATTTTAGAGGCACGGAATTCAAGAAACATTGCAGATCATTTTCATCTAGAATCCCGATTTTGGAATCTCATCCAAGGCTGTGTCTAGATGCCGAAATTTTTTATAAAATACTATTGTAGCATTTTTCGTTGTTATTTAGTAATTAGTGTCCAATCATAGTCTAATTAGGCTTAAAAGATTCGTCTCGTAGATTTCGCCTAAACTGTGTAATTAGTTTTATTTTTTTCTATATTTAATGCTTCGTGCATGTGTCTAAAAATTTAATGTGACGAAAAATCTTGAAAAATTTTGCAAAATTTTCTGGAACTAAACACTACCCAAACAGGTCCCAAAGAAAGCGCAAGAAACAAACAAAAACGGTGGTTGCAGAGTAATTATAGTACTTTCTTCTACCAGTACCTCTTCAATTGAAGTCACAAGACTGACATTGATGACCTGATCAACACGATACAGTACTGCAAAGCAGCTCAGATCACACCAGCGACGCTTCAGTTCGACAGTTCCTCCCAAGAAGAGAGGACAAGGAACCCAAAACTGCCCGGGATTCCTTCCGTTCCCCGGCCGCGGACAACTGAATTTTTGTTTTTGTTTTCGCAGGAACAAAAACGACGGAAAAAAAAAAAGGAGGCGTCTTTTTTTTCTCTCTCTCACTGTTCCAAGAGCCGGAAAACCGCTAAAACACCTGGAGCCGGCCCTCGGACGGATCGACACGCGATGGAAAATCTTCTGAGTTCTGATGAGGGGGGGGGGGAAGGAAAAAATTGGAGCCGGAGAGGCAGACAGTCTCTGTTCTTGGGTTGATCAGCTGGCCAGCAGCAGCAGGGACGCCAGCCCGGTCACCACCTTCCTCTTGGCCTGCGGCGGCTGCGGGCTCAGCCCCAGCTTGCTAGCCGCCCCGGGCTCCTCCGGCGTCGGCGACACCACGACCGTGATCTTCTTGTCTGCCCCGTCTTCTTCTCCGCCGGGAATGTCGGCGGCGGACGCCTTCGGCTTCTCGTCGAACCGCAGCTCGAACTCGCCGGAGAAGTTGGCGGCGGATATCGGCGTGGCGAGCGCCGTCGCCGGCGCCGGCGTCTTGTCCGGGCTACTGCCGTTACCGCTGCTGCGGGCGTGCGGGGACAGCCACTTGGCCCGCATGTACTCGTGCTTGCGCCACGGCGGGAAGTGGAGCCCGCGCTTGCGGAGGCTCTGCCGCGCGGCCTCCGCCACGACGGCCACGATCCGGCCCAGCCGGTCGGGAGTGCCCACGAACAGAGGCGGCAGCGCCTGCAGCGCCGCGCGGTACGCCTTGGTGGGCCGCGCCACCTCGAACTCCGACCGGAAGTCCACCTCCACCACAAGCCGGGCGCCGGGCACGGACTCCACCACAGCGTCGATGTACTCGTGCTCGCCGGCCGGGTGGGAGGGGGTCTTGTCCCACCGCGACGTGCACACCGCCGCGTCGTACCCGAGCGCGCGGAGCCCGTCCGCCACGGCGCGGCGGATGTCCGCCGTCTTCCGCCCGGAGCCGGAGCCCTTGCCGCAGCGCTCCGCGATCCGCGACGCGTCCGCCAGGAGGTTCCGCTCCGCCGTGCTCGCGCACTGCACCAGGCCCTGCGAGAAGGAACGGAAGGGGGGGGGAGGAAGAAATGGAAATTAATTCTTGATGACCACTCGACGATGATCGACTTCGGAGGCGACAAGAACCGAATCCGGACAAAAGATGGTACCTTGAGCAGCTCCAAGGCGTCGCCGGCCGCGGCCGGCGCGGCGGCGGGGGCGGAGGCGGAGGGCAGGAAGTCGAAGTCCTCGTCGTCGCTGCCGTCCTGGTTGCCGTTAAAGCAGCTGCTGCATCGCCCGCGCGGCGGCCGCTCCACGGCCGCGGAGGACTCCTCCATGAAGCTGATCACCATCTTGTCCAGCGCCACCGACCCGACATCCGCCTCCGCTCCGGCGCCGCCGGATGCCGCCGGCTTCTCGTCCTTCTCTCTCTCCTTGCCGTCCCCGACCAGGCGCTCGGCCGGGGTCACCCGCACCATCAGCCTCCGGAACATCGACACCCTCGCCGGCGCAGTCGGCCTGCCCTCCATCGTACCCTGCTGGTTCTTCACCGGGAACAGAAACGTCATCGACGGCCGCCACTTACCACCGTCGCACCCTCTCCTTCCCCGCTCCACCCAACCACAATCACCGTCCTCACTTGGCAACCGAAACAAGAATGGCGCGTGATCCGTGCCCTGCCTATTACAACCAAATAACAGCTACAGTCTACACCGTCTTACTTGTAGCCCAAAGGGGGGTCGCCGCCGGTGTCCATCTCCGGCTGTTCGTGCTCTCTTCCTCTCTTCGGAGACGAGGACGGAGGAGTGGGACTGTGAGGTGCCCCGCAAGGTCTTATAAAGAGGGAGGAGGGGGCTGTATGGCGGAGGGGGGGGTGGGTGACGTGGATGGTGGGTGGGCCCACAGAGTACGTGGCGTAGTGGGTGTAGGCCGTGTGGGGACGGGGGAAGGACGACGTTGACAGCTGGGCCCAGACGGTAGGTCACGGTGTTGTTGCCGTTTTTGGGAGAGGGGGACGGAGTACTCCGTGGACGCCGAGAGAAGTGACGGGTTTACCCCTGGCTGTTGGGGGTAAGCCATGTGCTCAACTGCTGCATAAGGAGGGGTAGATCCGTAGTTTTTTTTTAGGAAAGGCCTATTTGAGCATGGAATGGCAAGTTTGCCCCCTTTGGAGTTTACCGTTGTTTTGTGCAGCCCGCAGTTTTGTGCGAGAATGATTAGTGGAGTGTACTTTACTATAATTAGTTTTAGCATTATGCTTTCAACCATAATCAACTTATATAGAAATTCAAAAAAAAATCAACTTATATAGGACCTGGGCCAACTATTTATTGAACTGAGAAATTTATAAAATACATTGTTTTATGATATTGGTAGATAAAAAACTTCATACGAAGAAGTACAATCATAACACTTCTATTCTAGAGTTTGCGGATTAATGCGAATAGATGGTTTGATATTCGTATATAGGCAAATCGTAAAAAGTTTAAAACTAATTGACATTCCATTAAGTGTAGTAATAGATTGATTCCTCTGTGTTCGGTTCCTTCCTGTATTCAATAAGACATCTCGTATTTATTGTTAGAAATATGTTGCTTGGCTAATATGGTTGGCGCAACAAAAGATCTCTCGCCACAGCGGGCACTCTAAGAGTAGCCTCAACGCGTTGAGTAGCATAGTTTCTATAATATTAACTACTCTTCCATAGACTCCACACTGATGTGGTGAGAGGGTTATTCGGAAGAGAGAAATTGCTTCTCCACAAAGAAATCGTCTCGACAATCCTATAATGAATGAAGAAATCAACAAGATACACGTCAGGTGCGAAGCGTGGTTGCTTCACGTGTTTTGTGAGGTCCACCATCAAGACCATCACCCCAAACTCGTCGTTGCTAGTGGCGCACCAGATCTTTCACAAAAGAGACCGAGAAGAGGAGATAGACTCACCATTGACCTCACTCCATCGTCGTCGGATCCGCCGCAGGAGGTCGTGGGGAGAAGAGGGGGTTGCATCACTTCACCTCAGCAGCATAGATCCAAGCCTCACCGCGCCAGCCCGAGCCTCGAGCACCACGCCCCAGTGTCCAAGCACCGAGCGAGTACGCAAGAGAAGAGATATATATATATATATAGAGAAACGGGATTGGGGATAGAGAAAGCGATTATTTATTAAATTTATTAGAGGTGCCACGTATAGATACCTTGCATATTAAGTGATGTGGTCTCTAATATAAAAAGCTTAATCTTACTGACGTGATAAGTATAAAATGGTCTTCGCTGGCAAAGAGAAGTTGCAATAAGCCGTGTGTCAAGTCGAGGATGAGCCTTCATTGTATTGCTGTGAAATGCAATGGTTTGCGAGGCCGTGATTGTGGTGTTCCTTGTGTTCTCTTTTCAGACGCTGGGCTTCAAAAGATCTTCACCGCTTAGTCGTGCCATTTTTAGTTACTAGTTGTGTCTCATCATTAGTTGCTTCTCTTGGTGCTTCGCTTTGTGTATTTACGAATTATTTTCATATGATTAGTTGTTATTCGACTTCGTTGACGATCCTGTAAGGATCGTATTGGTCTTGATAAATTTAGGTTTGCTAAGCATGCGAATTAAGGGAGCGTTTGGTCTATGTCCAAAGGATGCCACGCCGTGCCGCAACTTCAATGCCACAGTTGCGGCATGCGTTTGGTTTACTGCCCCATTTGTGGCATGCCGTAGCCCTGCCGTGGTCTTCTAGTGCATTTTGGGTGCAAAAACGTGTCGGAGGTGCGGTGGCCGATTTCAGCGCCGCAGTTATGGCGCGGCCAAAAGTTCGGTACGGCAGCTCGTGGACACCATCCAAACGCGCCCTAAACTTTTTCTTCCTCCTAAAAAAAACTACTTAGGTACGACCGTAAACAGAAAAAAAAAATCAGCGCCGGAACTGGCCTAATACACTTCTTGCATTGTACCTAATAAAGCGGGGAAGGAAAAAAAACCCATTGCCCTACAGCAGCCATACCCGTACACTTCTTCTGTGCCTAATAAAAAACCGGAAGCCGTAAATGGGGCACAAAGCCAGGGGTAAAACGAGAAGGCCCTAAGTAACCCACCGGCGAGCGGCGAAATGGACGAATTTAAAAAAAAATATGAAGTCCACTTTTAGGCCATTAACTATTGTGTGTCTAATTTTGATCCTCAACTACAAAACCGTCTAATATTGGTACTTCAACTATTAAAACCGTTTACTTTTAGCACCTGAGCACGAGCGAAGCTGTTTTGTCCAACGTGGAGCGGGTTTGACCACGCCACGCTGGCGTTGACTGCCACATAGGACGTCAACCTTCATCTCAGTGACATATGGGGCCCACGCGTCACCCACTCATCCCCTCCCTCTCCATCCTCCAGCTCCGGCGCTGACAGGGACCGCGGCTCGGGCCGGTGGCACCACGGAGACCGTGGCGTCCGTGCTACGGAGCGCGGACAAGAGGCGGTCGTGCGGGTGTTGGTGGCAATCGCGGCGTCCGGCTTCATCGAGGAGCAGAGCAAGAGGTGCGTGGCATGGCGCTCGCCGTCGGCGCGCGCCGTCGCGGCCAAGCGCGTCCGTAGCATGCGCGGCGGCGGAGCGGGACCTCGCTTGGAGGCTCGGGTGGATGCGACGAGGGTGGTGGAGTCATTTGCCGCAATGCGGCGCCGGTGCGGTGCGGCGGGCGGCGATGGAGAGTCGAGGAGCTGGTCGGTGGTGACCCGCCTCGTGTGCCCCGCAGACGACGAGAAAAGGGGCGCGGCCCTGGACAGAAGGCTTTGGTGGTGGTGGTTGACGCGTGCTGGCGGCCATTCTGGCGACGATCGGCGCGCGCTCACGCCGAGATGGTCCGGTTGGGTGGCGTGCCCGCGGCCGTGCGCGTCTGAAAGGTCCTTGTGTGGTTTTGGTAATTGAGTGACAACCTAGGTGGACTAATTATGTTTATGTAAGATACACAGGTGATTAGTTCACAGGTATATATGTGTGAGCAACATATGCCATAAAGGTGAAAATGGCTTGAAAATGTTGCAAAGCTCACATATGATGATGAAGGAGCTCATTGCAAATGAGACATGACATTGAGTCATATGATCAAGGTGGAGAAGATCAAGACATGACTTGGCTTGATGGACCGGTTGCAAGCATGAAGGGTAAGTTGGAGGCTTTGGAGCGATGGACCGCGTGGCAGTGAAGCTTAAGCAAGACTTGGCGTCGATAGACAAAGGCAACGGTGAAAAGCAAGTGAAGTCAAGATCGATAAACCAATATGATCACGTGATGATATGAAGTGGATCATATCATTGTTGATCGTGTTGGTGCATGTGTTGCATCGACATTGGAGGAGATGGAATGGAATACGCAAGGCAGAGGTATAACCTAGGGCATTTTATTTCACCGGTCATAGGTGTGTAGAGAAGTTTATGACCGGGTTTAGGATAGATGGCCGTACTATCAAGAGGGGCAAACTTGTTTGCATATCGGTCATCTAGTGCCACTCGAGTGATTTAACTTTACATCGTCACTAGGATTGAGTGGCGTGGTAAGTTGAGTGGCTAATCCTTTAAAAATGATTGTGAAAATGCTAACACACATACACATGGTGGTGTACACTTTGTGGTGTTGGCACATTTACAAAGGAGATGAAGTTAGAGTTGATGTGGATCAACTCGGTGATGAAATGGAGGCGAGAAGGGTTCGAAACTTCATCGGCGCCCTATACAGAAAAGATAGGGTTTCACAGAGTGCATCGGACGCTAGTCACGCAGTGACCGGACGCTAGGGTGCTACGTCCGGTCAGTGGCGGTAGAGAGCGTGTAGGCGTCGGTCCTCGACCGGACGCTAGCGCTGAAAGTGACCGAACGCTGGCAGGGTGCGTTCGGTCAGGCTGACATACGGTGATGTAGGCGATGCAGAGAAGGTGGAGAAGGACCGGACGTAAATGCTGCGTCCGATCGTGATCGACCGGACGCTTCCGGTCACGACTGGTACCTTACTGGAAACAACCGGACGCTGGGGTTGCTGCATCCGGTCACTTCGTAGCAGCGCGTCCGGTCATCACTTAGCCGTTGGGATCAGGCGCTCAGTATTTGAAGAGAGGGGACACGTGGTGTGCATCGCACGACCGGACGCTGGGGTCCTACGTCCGGTCGATCTGACCGGAGCGTCCGGTCATCCCAAGTTTTGCCCAGTGAAGGGGTAACGGCTAGTTTAGCCCGTGGGGCTATAAATAGAAGGGTGTCTCAGCCATGGCGGTTGGGGAGCACCTCGGGGGACTTTGTGTCCATGCTTGAGAGTGCTTGGGAGCCTTCCATCTCACATATGCTTGATAGTGATCATCCGATTGTGTGAGAGAGCGATTCTAGTGCAATTGCATCGTGAGGTTGCATCGAGTGAATCTAGGTGATCGAGTTGCAAGCCGGTGGTGCTTGTTACTCTTGGAGGTTGCCACCTCCTAGATGGCTTGGTGGTGGTCTCCGTCGAAGCCCGCAAGAAGCTTGTGCGGTGCTCCGGAGAAGAGCTTTGTGAGGGGCATTG